ATCAGGCTGCATGTAAATGTGGCTAATGATATGGGCCCTTTAAATGATAAATAATATAACATAATTATTTATTTAAAGCAATTTTTTCTTAAGTTACCTTCCTGAGATTTAATCATCACATTTCAAACACGAGGGAAAAGTGATCCCAAACATTTGAATTGTGATTCCAACCTTTGAAACACGAGTATATGACACCATGTCCAGACATTGTACAAAAACAAGTATGTGTGTGTAGTTGGAGCTCAGAGTCTTGAGCCAGAAAACCAATCTCAGGCACAATCCTGGGCAAACATGGCGGACAGAAATAGAGTGATGGACAGGAAAAGGAGGGATTTGACTTAATCACCGTGATCTACGTGATTAAACACAGCCTAAACTGGCAGCAGAGAGAGGGAAAAAAAGGGAGAGAAAGAGAGAGAGAGAGAGAAAGAGAGAGAGAGAGAGAGAGAGAGAGAGAGAGAGAGAGAGATGGAAATATTAAGGAGGCTGTGAATGAACGTTCATAGTTAGCTGTCCAAAAGCAGCAGCGCTCCCACATGAAGATTAGGAGGCCAAAACAGGATTTGAGTGAAAGTTACCAAAAGCACGCAAACTTTAAACCCTGCAGCATGAATCTACATCACACACACACACACACACACACTCATTCACTCACTGCAGGTGCCGTCTGGCATGTGCATTCTTAGCTCTGAACAGAAGTTGGGTGAATGAACAGAAGGGTGTAGACCCCCCCATTGCTGTTGCCACTTCTTAATCATCCCCTCTTCCTCTGCCTCCCCTATCAGCCCCAGGCATACATTCATATGAGTCATATTTACATGCATAATTTACCTCTCGCTCTAAAGCCATTCTTGAAATCTGTTTTTCCCTTTTTCATGGTCTTTATTTATTTGCTCTATTTTCTCCCAACAAGTCAGAACCAGTTCTTAATTTAGTAAAAAGTCTGGCATACAGTGGTATCGCCAGTGTAAAGGCCTTAAGGCTGCGCCCCCTTTCGGGCATATACAGCATGCCGTATTAGCTGGTATGTTGCATAACAATGTAAACATCCAAATCCATCTTCAAAGGCCAACTTAGATACATAATTGCACTATGGTGGCAATCAAAACATCCTTTCTAATTAATTGAATTCTTAATTGAATTTAAAGTGCAGCTTGTATAATCTCCTTGGAAAAGCATTGCCAGTACAATGGGCTGCACATGAGCCTAAGGTCAACACGTCCAATGCCCAGCATTAGTTATCCTAGGGTTTCAGTCACATGATTTTTCTGTTGTGGCGCCATATTTGTGACCAAACTTCTGGCTTTGCTGCTCCACATGGACGTAACTAGAGGTGAAAGATGGTTAAAATGACTCTCTTTACTTTGAAAGAGAGAAAAGTTACCTCAACAAAGTCAATAAAATAGGCTGTGATCCTTATACAGTTTCCCCCTGAACTCCTGGACCCACTTAAACTGGCAGAAAACCACTGTTTTCCTGACATATTGATCTCATACTCAGCCCCTCTCCCTATTCTGGAGTCTCTCAAAGCATTTAAAAGCACAGAAGCCCAACGGCTCTTCATGTCAGGGTGGGTAAAGGATCCTGTGGTGTTGTATAAAGAGGAGACAAACCCTTTGTCATCAAAGGAGGGTAACAACATCAGCTAATTAACACAGATGTGAACAATGCTAGCCTTTAGATAACTTTAGCTAATGTTACCAGCCGAGAGATGAACAGTCGTCCCCCTAACGGAGCTGCAGACAGCCGGTATAACTTTACTCTCTGTTTCTGGAGATTTAAAATGACGTTTGAATGGAGAAACATAAACGTTAAATGTAAGACTGAATGTTGTGGGTCGGAAAACAACCCCAGTCAGCAAAATTTGTCCATCCTTGGTTTGTTCTGGCCCAATATACTTCTGGGTCCTTGGCCCAGATCTGGCCCACACACTGTAAAGTGAGTAGAACTAAAGGATATGGCCCAAATCTGGCCCCAATCTGGCCCAACTACATTATTGGTTCACGACACTCATGCCAGAATTGCCCCATGAATGTAGACATGAGGCAAAACCATATGAAGCTGTCCAGGATCTGGCCCTATTCTGGCCCACATGCCTAGCACTTACCCAGTAGTCAACCAACACTCACAAAGGAAAGCTAGAATTGGACCAAAACTGTCTGTTATCTGGGTACGTCGTGTTTCATCAGACGTGATTCTGTAAGTTTGCTAGTGCAGTTAGTTCAGAGTTCAGCTCCAGTCCTGAAACCCCTGCGCTGCATAACTGTGGTGTCCTGGTTAAAATACCTGATATTATTAACTAATTAATCCCTTCTTGAGCTGAACGAGGTGAGAACAGCAGAAAGAAAAACTAAACTATACAGTGCAGGAGCTCCAAGCCTGGAGTGACACTGAATTAAAGGTCTGTGTTTCTTGTCATTTTCGGCTACTGTCACGTCTTGCAAGTGAATCATTCACGAATTACAGCAAATTAAAGGTGCTCAAAATGGCGGTGTGACATCATGCGCAACGCAAGAATAGGGGTATAAAGCTCCCCAGCATTGGGCTGTTGAGCCATGGATCTGTGTTGTCTTGAGTGATGGTGCTCCATCCAACACCTTTGGGTTGAGTTGTAGCGTTTGTGATCCTGACCTAATCATCCAACATCAGTACCTGAACTCACTAATGCTCTTGTGGCTGAATGCAATCAAATTCTCCCAGCAATGATCCAACATTTAATATAAAGTCTTCCCAGAAGAGTGGAAGCTGTTACTTCAGCATTTGGAGGTCAAGCTCCCTGTTAATACCCTTGACTTCAGAAGAAATGTTGGATAAGCAGGTGTCCACAAAACATGTAGTATAGCTAGTAAGTACTGGAAGCTTAGATCAGAAACACTAGCTAATCTCAAACATACCTGCTTCTGTCACTTGTTGACAAACTGCTATCTATAAAAAGTGTTTAAAAGTGACCTATATGTGCCTGCACAAACTAGCCACTGCTGATATGTTGCCCACACTGGATGATGACCGCAGTGATATGCATATGATTAACACAATGGCCATTTTCGTTACAGTTACATGACCACATATTGGGTTTCTAGGGTCACATAAGCGTTTCTAATCTATGTCTGTGTCACATTGTGGGAAAAAAAATGGGCCTTGTAATGTGAACACAGCGTTAATCTGTATCTCAGATCAGAAAACAGTCTACTGTCTTTCTGTTCCTTCTGTTCTCAAATAACGAGCTCCTCCATTAAAGTCTTCACTCGAGCCGTTCTAACTCTTCTAAATTCCTCCATTGCGGTTTCGTGCTACTTTCTTCTTCCTGACCAAATTGGCCTGGTCATCTCCTCCCTAAACCCAATCTTGTCCGGTAATGATCCGACACTTTGAAAGTTTAGACTCTTTTTCCACATCTCTCTCTCTCTCTCTCTCTCTCTCTCTCTCTCACTCACTCACATACACACATGCAGACCCACATTTAGCTCCTTTCTAATAAGCCCCCATGAATGAAGATGAACGTCACTATCACGCCAACATAGCCAAGCGGGCAAACAGAACCATCTGTGGCTCAAAAGGAAGAGAGAGCCAAAGAGAGAGAGATAGAGGGAGGGTGAGAGAGAAAATCAGGGTGGAGGGGTGACAGGGTGTGAAAGGATGATGAAACACTGGAGAGAGAAAGAGAGAGAGGGAGAGAGAGAGAGGGAGAAAGAGAGAGGGAGAGAGAGAGAGAGGGAGAAAGAGAGAGAGAGAGAGAGAGAGAAAGTGTGTGGAGAGAGAGAGAGAGAGAGAAAGTATGTGTGTGTGTGAGAGAGAGAGTGTCTTTGAGTTCCTGACAGCCATATTGACAGCCCAACAAAAACAGGCAGGCGCATGAAAGGCTGAGAAAAAAAAACTGATGCAGAAGTGTAGGAGGGACGAATGAAAGTACTTTTATGTCTGGAGGAAACTCTTCCGGCCGTTATTTATAAGAGCTTGCGTGTGTGTGTGTGTGTATGTACGTGTTAGGCTGCGGAGGTGTGCTTCATTAAGATATGTGAGAAGTTCCTCGCTCTCATTCACTGACTCACGTTTTTCTCTCTCCGGCCAAACGCCACACTCCCGCCAAGACTGTGCTGTGCCAACACACACACAGACACACAGGCGCGCCCACACACACTGGCGGGTGGCTTTAAAGAGCATTAAGGTTTTAAAGAGAGCATCTTAAGCAGTTTAAGGAGTGAAGTGTAATTAAGGGTCTGATTCCTCTTGTACTTCACCATCTGCTCACTGTGTATACATGTATTGTATATATATATATATATATGTATATATATATATATATATATATATATGTATATATGTATATATATATATATATATATATATATATATAAATATATGTATATATATATATATATATATATATATATACACACACGCACACATACTCAACATGTATGCTTCACAGTCAATCATGGTCAACAGTGGTCCTGTGGGTGAGTAGAGGGGTAACAGTGGCCACTGAGTGGAGGAACAAGGTAGGTGCTTCTAATAAAGTGGCCACTGAGTGGAGGTACAAGGTAGGTGTTTCTAATTAAGTGGCCAATGAGTGGAGGTACAAGGTAGGTGTTTCTAATAAAGTGGCCACTGAGTGGAGGTATAAGGTAGGTGTTTCTAATTAAGTGGCCACTGAGTGGAGGTACAAGGTAGGTGTTTCTAATACAGTGGCCACTGAGTGGAGGTACAAGGTAGGTGTTTCTAATTAAGTGGCCAATGAGTGGAGGTACAAGGTAGGTGCTTCTAATAAAGTGGCCTGTGAGTGAAAGAGCAATGTAGGTGTTTCTATTAAAATGGTTAGTGATTGAAAGTGAAAAGTAGGTGCTTCTAATAAAGTGGCCAGTGAGTGGAAGAGCAATGTAGAGGTTTCTAATAATATGGCCAGTGAGTGGAAGTCCAAATTGGGTGTACCTTGTTCATTCATTCATTCACAGACAGACATAAAAATAATCAGATGAGTCAACGACACTGAAGACTTTGTTTTGAGATACAAAGAATATTTATTGTTTTATTTACAGTGTAGGACAAAATGCAGAGTTCAGTTTGCTGTGTACAGCGGAACGTCTCCTTTTATGGTGAACCCGGGAGCGCATCACTCATTCCTGAGTTCTATAGGCCAAATGACTGAACGCACAGTGAAAGCCCAGAACGAACCACACACCCACGCTATCAGCGCAGTTTACATAAGCTTCACACAGGACACACTGCAACTCAAATCCCCTGAAACGAACACAGGCAGATGGACACAGAGTCCGTCTTTCCATTCCCCAGGTGCTCTTCTCATTACTGCTTCATCAGGGGTAGCAGACAAAAAGAAAGCAAAATTGTTCTGCAGTCTATTTAAGCACTGTGTATATACTGATCCCAAATGTTTGGTTGCTGTTTTGTCTCCTATTTTGATTTATGCCAGAGCGTTTGTGAGTGTGCCTATATACAGATAGTGCATGTTAGTGGATCATGGTCTGTTGTGATAGCTTTAGAATGGCACATCTCCAAAGAGACCACAGTGAAAGAGTCTCTGTCTTTTTCTTTTTCCTTTTTTGACCTCTAATCTTCCTTTGCTGCCTTTCCTCTCTGTGTTATCTAGCACTGTCTTTTTATGTATGTCTATTTGTCTCTGTTTTGTCTCTCTATCTGTTTTTGTCTTGCTGGATGCAGAAAGTGAAGAGTGGCCCGAGTTGGTGCTGCACAGCCTCATGGGAGATGTAGTTCACCTCATACAGGCAACAGGCTGGCCTAACTCTGCCTTGTGAATTATGCTAAATACAGCACTTCCCTCACAATGTGTGCATATATGTGTGTATGTGTATATATGTATGTGTGTGTACCAGCTTCATCACTTCTGAGGCTGCTACTGCTGTCATGTGCCCATCAGAATCATGCCCCGTCAAATCACTGGGGGGCCAAGCACTTGAAAAATAGTGAAAGAAGAGAAATTAATAGCTCAGACAGCTGCACTCAGCCAAACAGCAAGTGAAGGGAGAGGGCCAGCATGGAGAGAGAAAGGAGAGAGAAGAACGAAAAGAAAGAGGATGAGGAGGAGGAGGAAGAAGGGAGGGCCGGCGATTCGTCATCTGGCGGGCATTCAAGCTCGAAGCAGCGGACTAAGGCTGAATCCTCGTTGCCGTAGTTGGCCCAGTATTCTTCTGGCTCCAACTTGGGCAGAGCAGCCTCCTCCGCCATCGGCTCGTACTTGGAGGCGAGATTTGATGCCGCCGCCGCAGCCGCGGCCGCTACTGGATGGACGTTCTTCCCCGATGCGAATGGGAACGCCTTGACCCCCTCGCCGCTCTTGTGGAAGGCACCCTTGGATGAGACGGCTGGTTTGCCCTTGGAGAACCACCAGCGTGTCTTGGTGCTGAAAGTGGTGGTGGTAGTGCCGGCCAGTGAGCCTGGGTCGGGCAGTGGGCACAGGGCGAAATCCATCTCACGCAGGAAGCGCAGGTCCTGGCCCTTGCGAGGAGCCGGAGAGGTGCAGGTCACCTCGGAGCTGGATACCCGTGCACCCCGGAAGAACTCCCAGAGCGTGCGAGCCTCGCAGCCGCAACCCCAGGGGTTGCCGTTGAGGCGCAGGAACTGCACATTTGCTGTGTCTCGCAGCGTCTGGCCAGGCAGCTCCCGCAGCTGGTTGTCGAACAGGTAGAGGATGGTGAGGCGGCCCAAGTCGCGGAATGCCCGACGGTGCACCTGCAGGGACAAGTTGAGTAAGTATGTGATTTTACGGACAACAACGAAATGAGAATGAAATGCAAAAGTATGTTTTAGGAATAGGGTGGGCAATATGAACTCCAAGAATGTGAATATTAATAATAAGGACAATGAAGATATGATGCAACACATTTCCAAAAATTAATAACAACAATACTAAGAAGGAAAGAATATTATATGTGGTTTAAGCCCTTCAAACTTGATATATGATAACATTATTAAATTAAACATGTTGAGACACAACTTACACTTTAAAAAGTCTCCTTTTCTTTATTGTACAAATGCGAACTGCATTTACTCATATACTGGGTGCTCAGATGGTGAAAAAGGCTGCTAGTAGCTACATAGTGCCATGTATAGCTGTTATAGGGTGTAATGTAACCTATATGCCTTACAGGAAGCCTATTCTCCAACACAAAATCATAATCTGCACCAATACTGTAGTGAGTTTCTAGCTCTCAGCCCTACCTGTCGGATGCGGTTGTCGTGCAGCAGCAGGCGGTCCAGGTTGACCAGGCCGCGGAAGGCATTCTCGGAGAGCGTACGGATGCGGTTGCCGTGCAGGAAGAGGTGCGTGAGGTTGACCAGGTCGGAGAAGAGGCCATCTGGCAGGTGGCTCAGCTGATTCTCCTGCAGGTAGAGGAACTGCAGGCTGTAGAGCTTGTGGAAGAGGTCAGCGGGCAGCTCAGTCAGACCACAGCGGTGCATGTGGAGGCTCTGCAGGCGCTCCAGACCGCGGAAGGCTCCGCCGTCCAGCCGCCGCAGGGACGGGTTGTCGCCCAGGTCCAGCTCCTCCAGCACGCGTAGGTTGCTGAACGCCCCCGCCTCAATCCATGAGATGTTGTTGGAATACAGCCACAGGACCTGAAGAACAGAGACGGAAACGGAGGCGGAACTCAATGAAAGAATGAACCGGGAGGGATCTGCAGCAGAATTTTTGAATTACTCACATTCTTGTGCATTAAATTGTGAGGCTGTGTTGGAAATTGTTCGCTCATCACTATTCCTTACGTTGGGAAAATGAAGAGAACTGTATAGAACACTATTATAGATGACAGGAACTGGTTTCCTGCACTAATGTTTCCGGGATTTGCTCATCACTCTGAAGCAGTAGTCTCAGTCGCATACAGCACAGCACATTATGGGGATTCTATGTCCATTTCACCTTTGTCACTTACCTACTGTGGTGCACTGTGGGATTGTAAGAGTGCAGTGGATATTTCACATACCACAACAAAATGACTTACTAAATAGTTCCGTATATTTAATAGGGCACAGTTTCAGACATGGCCTAGTTAGTCATATGCAAAACACCCCTGATCAAATGACATGCTTTGTTTATTTTTAAAAAAAAAGTTAACACATTTTCTATAGGGAATAAACTAAAATATTTTTTCTGCACATTTTAGTGCACAATTTCTATTTATTTGAGTTTAACATTTGGGGAAAAAATACAGAGCCCTATTGGTGATTTCTCTATACAATTAAAGCATGACTTTAGGTGTGGAAATGAGATAAATAAGTCCTGGCCATGACTTAGTAAGGAATGAGATCATGCCTTGTTAAGCTGCGGTCAAGGCTTAATTATCTCATTCCCATGCCTTACTAAGTCATGGCCACGCATTATTTTCATTTATATGGGATGTCACCAGCAGGGCTCCACAGAAAAAAGATGAAACTTAAAATATAACTTAAAACTTTTACACAGAACACTTTTTTGTTTATTTTTCCCCAACATGTCAAAAGTTGGCAAATCAGCAAATAAACTCTTATTGTGTAATAGTGCTAGAAGTGTGTTCTCTGTAGAGGACGTGTTAACCTAGTTTAGAAAATCAACAAAATGTCATTTGACCGGGGGGCCAAACTTTTGCATACAACTGTCTCTTATGTTATGTTGTTTCACATTTGAAAAATCCAGTTGCTATTTATATTGTGAGAATATGATGAACCAACAGAAACAGTCCAAGATTATTAGGAATAAATACTTTTTACATTATTGTACGTTATTATTATGCTATCCTTCTTCTATAAAGCTGTTCTTTCAGAGCTATTATATGTTTTTTAGCCTAGTTTTGCACTGTTGAATTGTACTGAAACCTAATTGCCCATATAGTCTAAGAGAGCTGTCCTTTCCCTATTCCCGTCTTGGTCACTCGTGTTGGGACTTGATTTCATTTGACTGTATAGTTGTATATGGATGAGGTGATAAAAGTGGTCTGCTTGACTCTTGACTCCCAAAATCTTATTACTTATTATGTTTAAAGACCACTCACCTGGGTCTCGAAGCCGAAGGAGTCAGCCCTGAGCTCGATGATGCGGTTGTTCTGCAAGAAGACGCGCTGAGAGTCGTAGGGAACGCCGGCCGGAACAGAGGTGAAGTTCTGAGACTGGCAGCTCACAGTCATGGGCGTGTCGTAGCACACACAGAGCTTCGGACACGCACGACCTGGAGCAATGCGACATGCCAACAGCCACACCACCAACCAGAGAGTGAGACCACCTGCAGAGAGAAGGGGGGAAGAGGGAGCTTAGGACATGTTTGGATTGATGAAAAGCATTGAAATTGAAATTGGAATAAACTGATTGCCACTCTGAAAGTACAGGTGACAATATTTGTATAGTGTCAGTTAAGGGCAAGGTCATGACCTGCCCTACTGGCTCTAAATTCTGGCGAGATGAACAGCAGGGCGCGCGGACAGGACTGGCGTGCAGCTGTGCACAAGTCCTGAACGGATGGAAGGGTGTGTAAAGGCGCGTGAAACAAAAAGAGGTGGGATTAACGTCAAGCAGCTGAAACAGGAGCAGGCTGGAGGAGCGCAGCGCATTAAACTTTCAGCGCGTGAGGGGGGTCCAGTGACTCCGGACAATAAAAAGACTAATAGAGCCGCGCGCCGCCTGAATTAATCATGGCACGCGCATTCAGCTTCCGCACGCAAGATTTTCCTACGAGCCCGAGCCGTGACCCTCAAAGCGGTGTGTGTGCGCGCGCGTGCGAGTGTGCGTGTCATTCCTAATAAGGGAGCATGGGCCTCAGAGTTTATTATCAGAAAGTTACATTTACTCAGCATATATATATATATATATATATATATATATATATATATATATATATATATATATATATATATATATATGCCGAGTAAATGAATTAGGAACTCAGTATCACTACAATGGAAACAAAAACATCTAAATGGAAATATTATCATTTTATATCAAATTACTTGGAAAAAAGTCTGGTTCCATTGACTTACATTAAAAATCAAAGTATAGTTTATTGCTTTAAGTATATATAAGCACACAAAAACGAGATATATGTATTATATATGCATTGTTCAGCTTCATGGTTCAGCTGCTGGACTGCTTTGCTCTCATCTCTCACTTTGGAGTTCTTAACATTTATTTTATCGGAAAAATAATCCCAAAAATGGAAGAACAGTTCTTTTTGCGATACCACGGTTCCTCTCAGTGGATGGTCCTTTGGATGACCAATTACTCCAAATGAGATTTGTGAGTGTGAAGCATCTTTTTAAAGTTTGAAGAGCGTCCAGAACGAACCCCTAAGCTGGTATAGAACCTGGTGGCTGGTATATAAACGTTTGAAAGGTTCTTCACACTCACAAATTACTTTTTCAAACAGGGTTCTTTGGGGAACCAAAAGAGGGTCTTCTGTGGCATCGCTTAAACAACATTCTGTGAATACTGTTCTACAGGAGTTCTCTCGAGAACTGAGAACTAACTCTCGAGAACTTTTACTCCTAGATGCTTATTTGTCTGTTTTTAGTTCAGTATTTTGTCCTCTATCTCCTCCAACCACAACACTGAAGAACTAAACTCTCTGGATGGCTCTTCCCTGTTCAGTGCTCCAGTATCTACCGCGCGCTCCGAACATACAAACAGCTTTACGCAAAAAAAAAAAAAAAAGTTTTGGATTCACGATTCCAGATTAATATATCTCTGTATGCTGCCTCCTGTAACCCAACTGTTCATTACGCGTCGTAACATGCATGCACAAGTGCGAAATAACACGCGTAATGCGTAATAAAGCATGCATAAGTACATTAAGGAGATGATCATACTTACTCTTGAAGCTGAGCGCGCTGGAGGCGCGAGATCGCCGCAGAGCTGCGCGAGGTTCCATCTCTGAAGCCTTGATCCGAGAGCCGAGAGCCGAGAGCGAGTTAGCCCGAGCGCGAGGACGTGCCTGCTATCTACGCTGCTTTCAGCTCTGGCGCGCAAGCTCGAGTCGAAGGCGACTGAGGAAACAGCGCGAGCGGCAGCGCGTTTATAGGGCGAGCTAGGAGAGGAGGAGGAGGAGGAAGGAGAAGGAAGGAGGGAGGGAGGAGCGCGCGCAGAGGTGGGCAGCGACGGAATCGCTAGTGCGTAATGCGCGCGAGGGCGTGCTGGAGTGGAGGGACAGGGGAAGCACTGTGTGTGAGTGTGTTTGTGTTTAGCTCTTTGTGGGGACCAGACTGAGCCCTGGATGATGAACATTGTGACGTTGTGGGGACGTTCGGCCACCTCATCAACCAAAAGTCTTATCATATATATGTATATATATATATATATGTACACACTTACATGATGAATACATATGTAGATACACACATAAGGACAAGGAAAAAAACAAAAAAAACAAAACCAAACAAAACAATATATATAAACATAACAAATATACATATAATATATATACTATATATATATATATATTCGTGTCCTTATGTGTGTCCTTATGTGTGTATCTATCTATCTATTTATCTATACATATATATATATATATATATATATATATATATATAGATAGATAGATAGATAGTATAGATAGATAGATAGATACACACACGATGCCACAGAAGACCCTCTTTATATATATATATATATATATACACATAAGGACACATACATAAGGACATGGAAATTCCCCACAAAGTCAGGAATACAAACTTGTGTATGTGTGTGAGTGTGGCTGAGAGTGTGTATAAATGAGAACTTGCTGGTGTTTTGGGACATAAAAGGCTGTCATACTCCCCAGAGTGCAATTAGGATAAAGAAAAAGATGAATTATGGTTAGTCATGTATTTGGAACGTAGGCTAGTTAAGGCGGAAACTGCTCAAGCTGCAGCACAAGCAGCATAAAACATGGAGTGGGATGATAGAAAACACCTCACGTTTTTTTCCTTCAGTTCTAAAGAGTTCAGGATCCGTGGGGATCCGGTTGGTTGTGCCCGGAAGGTAGACTGATTTTATATTTTATTTTATTCCTATGTTTCGGCATGTGATCATTACAAAAATGTCCGTGAATGTATGGGCGTAGTATTTGGAATGGGAAACTACACTAAAAGACACCCCACGAACACAGGCGTTCTGCTGCACTTAGCTTGTATAACCTCCGCAGAAAATGCACTGCCAACAGAGTGGGATACTCTGGAGCAGCTGCACACGAGCTTAAGGTCACCAGTGGAGTATTTAGTGGTCTATAAAGCCCACCAGCATTGGGTTGTGGAGCAGTGGAACTGCATTCTATGGAGCAATGGAGCTCCATGCAGTACCTTTGGGATGAGTTGGATTGTTTGTAATCCAGAACTAATCATCCAACATCAGTACCTGACCTCACTAATGCTGTCGTGGCTGAATACAACCAAATCCTCAAGGTAATATTCCGACATCCCACACTGAGTGTAAGGCCTTCAGGAAAGAGTAGAGGCTGTTACTATTTCAGAAGAAATGCTGTATGAGTAGCAGGAGTCTTTTATGTAGCACATCCAGTGTAGTTCATGGTACCTTTGCTGTTTGTAAGAAAAGATCAGACACACTTTGAATATGTAGTGGATTTGGTTCTTTAGAATGACACTATGAAGCCTTTGAATTTGTGTCAGGAACTTTGGGAGAGCAGTGTGTGTGCGTGTTTGTGTCTCAATGCATGCGTGTGGGCTGTGCTGAATCAGTTCTGACCTGTTCTGTCCTGACCATGACTGAGGTCACAGAGTGTTCTCTGGCAAGATGCAATCCATCTGCACATGCACACATGTACCCATACCCACATAAAGGCACGCAAAGCCACACCTAGGCTCCCAGTGTAATAGTATATCTATCAAAACAGCTCCTGTATTGTCTAGGTATTGGCTTCACTGTGATTATTGGAAGCACAGGAACATGTCTTGGTGATTGATACTGACAAGCACACGCACGCACGTATGTATGAATGCACGCACGTATGCACCAGTGGTGTCTCTACATTAGGGGCCTGGCCCCACCAGATGTCGCTGTGGAGCAGTGCATGACATGATCAATAATTCAGTATAACAACTAATGTATATTTTTCTTTTTAACTAACATTTGTTATTACATACGACAGTGGTAGGGCTGGTGGATACGTTCCAAATATCTTCCTGTGCCTGTTGTGTAAATGCCAGTAGGTGACCTGTTTCTCCTAGTAGTCTTCGTTTGGTGAGTGTGGGTCTAACCAGGTGAGCAGTTAAAAAACACTCATGTTCAATGCACTTTCAATAACCAGCTGTGGGGCACAATCACGTTGGCCCCATGCTGAGAGCAGCCAATAAAACATTGTTTAGTAAACATAATTTATGGTGTGGGCACCGCTACGCAGCTAGCCACTGTTTCTCATCAGTTGTTGTAGCCACTCATAACAGCAAGGCATTATAATGAGTCAAGTCGAAAAGGTAATAAAAGTTAAATTTGGTTCCGACCATTAGAGAAGAAAATTAGAGATTAAACGTTTGGAACGACACCAGCCAGAGGATTTCAACATCATTCAGTCTGGAAAGGACAAAAACTGCTCCTTCAGTCCAGAGAGGTTCAAGAGAAAAGCATGGCTAACTGTGAGTGTAGCTAAAAACACTCTTCTGCTCTCCTTGCCTGCCTTTGCTATGCTATCACTTCAATTCATTTATGAGTCGGTGGACAAATCTTGCTTACTTTTTACTGTATTTATGCTGAATTGCAATTGAATACTAGTAATGGAAATATGTATTCAGGATTCAGAAATGAACTATTTGAATTCAGTCCAAGTGAAATTTTGCAAAGATTTTGTGTTCAGAATACAGTTACCTTTTTAGGAAAGTGCTTTCAAAACTAAACTAAATTTTATAAATATACATGTACTATCTTTTAAAAACACCTACACTGCTTGTTAATTAGCTATTTAAAATCAGCACATAGCATGTTCAAACTCTGAAGAAGGACTCAAAAAACATCTTATTTACAAACACTTAAGTTCCTGCTAAAGCATGAGTAGACTGATAAATCATTGTGATGAGCCAGTTATTAACCTAAGCATTAGTAAACTCTTTTGAGGGATGACTGAACTGAGAGTGGACATGTTCTCGAGTGATAAGCTTAGCTTTGGAACTGTACTGGACTTCTGCAGCAAGTTACATACCTAATGTTCGTTTTATTGGAATATGGCAAATTGTTGGTCATGAAAGGGAAGTGGGATTATGGGAGCAGCAGTGGACTGAAGCAGGTGATAAGAGCCAAAATAATGTTGAGAATTTTGTATTCTTTTTTTGTATTCATTTGAATAATAATTTTTTATGAAACATTATCAGAAGTATTACATGAACAAAACTGGCAAACAGTAACAGCGAGGAACATCAAGAAAGAAATAAAATTTACAGCAGAGCTTTTGCCATGTGCTTTATTAATATGTAGTCTAAATGTATTCTGAATATGTTACTTGTTAAATATTGTAATGGAATACATTATTGAATACAATTAGGACAATGTATTCAGTATTCAGCCAGCACTACTTTTTCAAAGTATTCTACCTATTTATTTAAGTTTTCATTTATATTATATCAATACTGTCTATTGTCTCACATAGGGCAGTGTAATTAATATTGAGCCATCACTACTTTATATATATATATATATTATATATATATATACATATATACATATATATATATATATGTATATATATAATATAAAGAGAGAGAGAGAGAAAGAGAGAGAGAGATGAAATGTAATCCAGAGGTTTGTCCTGACAATGACAATAAGAAAGCATCTATATGTAATAATAATATACCCCATGTGTATTATATACTGAAAATGAAAGTACTGATATGCACTGATATGCGACATATATATTTATTTGACAAAAAAGGTTTTGTTCCAACAGAGATGATATGCAAGTATCTATAAAATAAAAAAATATAAGAACAATAATGAAAATAAGAATAATATTATACTCCATATATATATATATATATATATATATATATATATATATATATCGCTGTTGTTGGAAGAAAACCTCGTATCTTCAAAATGGTAACTTTACAGGAGAAGGAAAAACATACTTAGTAAGTCAATAGAACCAGAATTTTTTTGGGGACATTTCTTTTAGTTCACTCATCATGAAATTTACATACAATGTAAATGGTAACTGGTATTTTCAAATTATGTCAAAAACTTAAAAACAACAAAAATGGAGATACGAGGTTTACACTCAGAACATCGTTGTCCTCAAAATGTATGATAAACAAACACACACACACACATGTGGAAGCTTTCCATACACAAACCCTGCTCTCTGAGCCCACCAGCCCAGTCACTGTTGAAATTTCTGATCACTACAGGGGGCCACATTATTTATACACACACAGTATGCACACACACATACTTACACAGTGATACATACACACAAGTTAATACACAGACGCACCTGGACAGCAATGTAAGTGATAGTAAATGCAGGCAACTTCCTGTCACGCCCACCGTTTGTTATGGTCAGGCCTTTGAGAAACAGCTTAATGCTAAAATAGCACAACGAAGTACCAAACAAACACACGGCCGAGAATTCACACACATTCATACGATCATTTCACCCACAGACTCAGTCATCCCTGAGGATTCAGAGCGCTGCAGGGGTCTGCGGAGGACGATGGACACACATACACACACACATACAAGCACACTGACACACACAAACACACTGACACACACATGAGGTAGTGGGATCAGACAGATGACCAGCCTCCCCCTCACCACTCGGGACAGTGATACACTCATTAAAGAGCAACAGACGGCGCTCTGGGGAGTGGGTAGCCTGTGTGTGTTTGTGTGTGTGTTTGCGTGTCCACACATGTTGATGTGCATGCTAACACATGTGAGTGCCCTTTGAGTTGCTAACCCAG